GGTGCTTGATTTTCAGCTCCTGTGGAAGTTGGCTCACAGGTAATGGTTCACCTCCAGGCCCAAACTGCAGGTGCTTATCAAGAGGGCAGGTGAATAAGCTGCCTGAATCCCTCCATGGCCGGAACTCTGGAGCTCTGTTCTCCTCCTGGCCTGCGATGCAGACGCTTACCGAGAGGGCAGGTGAATAAGTTGCCTGAATACCTCCATGGCCGGAACTCTGGAGCTCTGTTCTCCTCTTGGCCCGCGTTGCAGACACTTACCAAGAGGGCGGATGAATAAGCTGCCTGAATCCCTCCATGGCCGGAACTCTCAGTCCAAGTATTTCTTATAAGGATGACAATATGCAGTATAGCAAATATGGGGGATTTCCTTCTATCTTGTCTTTGAAATCCAGTATTGTTCTCACTGTTTTACTTTGCTCTGATTGTTTTTTCTTTATTTAATATTCTGTTTTGACTGGTTTTATTCTGTTTTGTTTTTGCCGTACCTAATGGAATGGACAACTATTGTGAAGATAACAAGATATACTATGGTAGCTACTGTTATTTTCCTAGTATCCTGCTTTGAAATTCTGTATCAATTTTCTTTTTTCTTTTTTTGTACTGGTGATTGTACTTACCACTTTGAGCTTGCCAGGCAGGCACTTATGCGCTGAGCTAAATCCTCAACTCTGTATCAATTTTACTGCTTTATTTTGGTTGGCTTTGTTTTGTTTTTTGTTGTTGGGCTTTACTATCTTTAAAATTTAAAAAAAAAAATTTAAGAGTAAAAAATAAAATATTTACTTTTTAAGAGTCCATGGTTACAGTATCAATCTGTACATATAGCATAATAAAAGATACCATTATGTACTGTCAGGTGTCTTGCTTTCTAGAAACAAGAGGTCCCAACTCCTCTTACCCACCCTATGGGAAGCCCTGTAATTGGCTGCCACCTTATATCTGCAGGCCGAACCACCTTAACTCCCTCTAGGAGTTAAGTTGGTAGTTAAGCAGCACCTTGCCTAGCTTGTTTGGCCTATTCAGGGATTATGCGTGGAAAATTTGATTTAACCTATAACCCTCAGTCTTGCTACTATTGCTAAGTTACCTGCTGACATCTCAGAACCCAACCCCCTCCTCCCCAATACCCTATATATTTGATACTTTTTCCTTGAATAAACGAGACTTAATCGGACTTCTGTCTTGTCTTCATTCTTTGTGTCTCTTGTCCCCTTTCATCTCCACTCTCCCTCTAGGGTCTCTGTGGACTTACCTGCAGGCCGGGACACCCCCCCCCCTCCCTCTCCCCCAACTCCCAGGCAGCTTACGTCAGCTCACTCTTTGTTGTTTATTTAGAGACCAAATTTGCTCAACAAAATAGGAATCTGCCATCAGCCAAGGGAAATTCCTATAACTAGGCCTGCTAATTAAAAAGCTAAATGCTATAGGTGAGAACTAGCTCTGATCCCAAGGTCAAATTAAATTAATCTTAGACATTTGGCTAATAAATACTGAGAGTATCTACAGGTAGTTTCTAAATTAGAAAGACTGGGCCCCAATAGCAGCAAGATATAAACATGAGCACAGGACACAATATTTAGAACTAAACGATTCTCTAGATTTGCCTTTTAAAAAGTTATTATGCCATTAAGCACTAAATGTAAGAATTAAAATTTCACAGATTTCTAGTTAAATCAAAATGTGGTGAAAATTACTGGTATTTGACCAAATTCTAAAAGAATGTCAACTATTTTAGAAATAAACATTCACTACCTACTTGAAGCAAAACTTATTAGTTTCTATCTGCAAATACAACCTAAGAAAAACAGATAGTGGAGGCTTTTTATATGATAAAATGCTAAAAATCAACTATTAAAAATCAAGATTTTGGAGGAATCCTTGGCCATAACTCACAAAAAAATTTAAGATAAAACTAAAAATTAAAATATGCACATTTCCAAAAGTATTTTAGGAACACAGATATCTACATTATAAGAAGAAAATTCTTACAAGGTCATGTGCAAATCTCAGAAAATAATACCACAACTATTTAGCAGGACACAGTCAGAGTACCTTTTCGAATGAAGATTAATGCATTATATTGTCTTTCTCCTTACAATGAAGGAATCTCAGCTTTCCATATTTTCAAAAATAATTAAATTAACATAATCTTTGAAAATATACCTTAAGTATTTGCAGTTTTCCAACTTGCTTACTTATTTCAAAAAGTACCATTTTTAAATTTCTGTATTTTTATTACAATCATTACTATCAGCCAGTGCAAAAGACTAACAGTAAAAAGCAAGGCAACAGAACTATCAGATTAGAAATCAAGATATTCATCCATCTTTGGGGGAGTGGTATTGTACTAAGGACTGAGCACTGAGCCTTCACACTGACCTGCATACCCAGTGCTTTTAATTTTGAGACAGGGTCTCACTAAGTCACTAAATTGCTGGCCAGGAATGCAGGACACTCCAGCAACAGCCTCCCACAGTGTGGGATTATAGGCATGTATCACAATGTCCAGGTTCATTCCTTTATTAAACATCTGAGCATTACTGTAGTGCCAGACCATAGATACTAAAAACAGGAAAAAAAAAATTTTAATCCCCAAAGAAACACAATACTACACTTCATCAAATTTAAGATATCACTGATTATAAGACAAACTATTAACAAGGAGAAAAAGATGCTTTCAATTCTGACATAATACTCTAAATGAACCACACTGATCACTCGCAGCTTTAATTATTTTCCAATCTATTCAGGGAAATTTGGCAATCCTTCCTGTCTTCAGTACACTGCTTGACATTGTAAGTGGCAACTTTTTTCACACATCTCAGTACAAAACAAAATTTCATCCACTTTGGGGTATTTCTTTCTTAGCTCCTACAAAGAACTTCATGGTCACTTTTAAAGAAAAATTAATATATGATTAATAGCAAATATTATATCACCAATACCAAATTTATATTTCTCTATTTTAGTTCTGCCCTTTTCTGTGTTCAATAGTTTTTTACTTCTATTCCAAATCATACTGAAATCTTTTTTGAAAATATATTTTAAGGGTAATTGAAGGTAACATGTAGTGCTGACACCACGTCCATAACTCAACTGCAGCAACACTGAATGCAGCTCTAAGTCTGCACATGCACCGGCACTGATGACCTCAGAGAATGACCACTTGATTGACCACTATTGAACAGAAGACAACACTTGACAATCACATACATTCCAACTTCAAGACACGCAAATAGGAAAAAATACAGGTCTTAGAATCACAGCAATAATACCAGAAGATATTTAAGAAGCACTATGAGCACCATATATTTGCTCATGAAAACCTGGAAACGAGGTAGAAGTTGTTGAGGCAAGGTAGACACATTAACTTGCACGACATCATGAAACTGGCATGTGGCCAGGCTCGCATCTGAATCCAGCAGGGTAGGCTCAAAGCTAATTTTTTTTGTTTTTTTGGTCCCAGAGATCAAACTCACAACCTTGCACTTGCCAAGCAGGTGCTTAGGCCACTGAGCTAAACGCCAGGCCCCAGAAGCTAAGTTTTTAGCCATCATGCCATACTACCTCTCAGTAGCTGCTAGCTTTGTGATCTGAAACAAATCATAACAAAAGGGACTCCTCTTCTTTCTTTGAAAATGAGGCAGTCAGGGAGGGAGGGGAGATGAGGCAGTAAAAAGAACTAAGATGTGTCATGTACATGTAGTAACTCCTAACAGTGACTATAATCATTAAGTACTACAAACGTGTAGCTAGAAACATGTTTTTAAAAGGAAGTGGGGCCTGGTCAGAAGAGGTGGGTCATGAGGGCATGACCTGGAAGGAGTAGCGCCCTTCCCGGCTCTTCCCTTCCGCTCTGCTTCCTGACCGTGGAGACCTAAGCAGTGCTCCTCCCACCATGCCATTCTGCCTGGAAGCCAGCCAACCAGGGTCTGTAAACATGAGTCAAAAAAAAAACAAAAAAAAGAGGAAATCCTTTCCAGGATCAGAGTAATTCTGTAATTCTATAATCTTCTACTGCTGGAACTTTAGTTTTATGCTAGTTTCTGCTTTGGCCAATACATTTCAAAGATTTTCACTGCCATTAACTTATTAATGAAAAACAATGTAAATTTTGTCTAAAATAGTACTGTGGAGGCTGAGCCAGGAGAATTACCATAAGTTAAAAACCATAATGAGGCACTGTCTCAAAAAAATAAATTAAAATAAAGTAGATGTGAGTAAGTAGGAAGGCATTTAAGAAAACACCTCCTCCTTAAGTCACTACTTCTTATCTTTAGGGTAATGGCAAAAAGTTGATCACAGACAGAATCCATAGACATCATAGACAGATCCAGAGACAGAATCTGTGGGTTTTACTCTGCTATGTCCAGAAAAGTTTAGTTCAAACAGCACAATTTCAATCCATCATTTTTTATGGCTACTCACAATGCAAAGCCCCTATTCTTACAATTCTGTTCATGTATGAAGAGAAAACATAGCAGATCAATAACAGATGAAAACACTGCAGCATTCTCCCTCTTGATCCAATTTAAGTGTGGAATTAAATGTGCATCACACACTTGATAACTCTTCGGCCCCAAGGGAGGTCCACCCTTTGAATTTTCTACAGACCAACCCAGCTGTTCTCCTGAACTTGCCTTAAGAACACAGCCTCTGAACATCTGGCAATCTGGTAATAATTAAAACAATTCCTAATATTTCACTTTCGACCTGTACGACAGGAGAAGCGTCAATAAGGGAAAGGGAGTAAAATGCACCAGATTTTCAAAGTTTTCCATTATTCTCATTTAACTGTCAAATGCCATATCAATTTCTGTCTGACTTAAAATAATCCATCCCAATAGAACTCAGAGAAACATTAAAACATTTTCTAGGAACAAAGCAAAACAAGGAATATAAGTAAATACTGGCAAAAGTGGGCTTAAAAAGCAGAAAAAGGCAGAGGTTCAAAGGAAGTCAGCTCCCGCCAGTCCCCAGGCTTTTCCTATTACCTACCTTCCCATGTTGCCCAGCCCTTTCGTAACAAATGACCACATCTTCCCACATTTCCAGCTTCTCAAATATTTGAAGGGCTGAACTGGTACATCCCAACTCAAACAGCAAACCTGCAAGTTGGCGCTACAAAAAACCCCAAGTTAAAACAATTAATATTTCTTGATGCAATGAGAGATTTGTTTCAGCTCTTTCTTTCTTTCTTTTTTTCTTTGTTCCCTTCCTTCCTTCCTTCCTTCCTCCTCTCTCTCTCTCTCTCCCCCTCTCTCTCTCTCTCTTTCTGGCATAGTATAGCTGTGTAATCTGGGCTGGCCTTGAGATCACAGGCCCCAAACTTCAGAGGGCTAGAATTACAAGCAAGTGCCACCATGCCTAGTACAATCATTATAAGGGCTGCATATGTAATAAATGTATGATTTCTATAGTTCAACCTTTACTAATTAGGAATCTGTAATGATCAAATATTTATATTTACTTCAGCAAGCCTCTTTATAGGGGATGAAAACAAAAAAAATATACAAACATCTGTGTACAGCACTGTGATAAACACTGGAAAGTTAACTGTACTAGGCCTCGATTTTCTTCCCACAAAATTAAAAAACTAGACCAAGTGTATAAGTAATCTTCAGGGATAAAATTCTAGAAAATAGTAGAACCATAGCTATTCTATAGGTGGACTTTGGGACAGGGGCTTTACACTAGGATTCTTCACACCCTCAGAAAGTAGCCAGATATATCTCACATCATAAAGCATCAAATAAACACTTTTTTTTTTTTTTGTCTTTTTCCTTTTTATCGGTACCAGGGTTCAAACTCATGACTGCCTGGTTGCAAGGCAGGTGCTTATGCCGCTGAGCTAAATCCCCAGCCCCATAAACACTTTCTTGTAACTTTTGAAAACAACTTAGTTAAAAGGTTTATTATTTGGCAGAAAGACCTTAAAATACTTTTAAATATAAAAAGTTACTTTAAAAATGAAAGCATTTATGATTCTCCTATGACTTAATTCTGGGATTCAACCTAATATATATATAGTTCTAAATCTTTTTTAAAATATTTTAAAACTCTAATATCACTTTAATCAAAACAGTAATTTGGGGGGTTGTAAAGCAGGAATCAAACTCAGGACCTTGGCTCCTGACTGGCAAGCCCTGTGCCACTGAGCTATATGCCTGGCCCACAGAAATCTAACATGGTTCTCAATTCACAGTTAGACACTTTTACTATTTTCACAGAAATATTTGAAAATTCAAATATAAGTTGAAATTATTATTTTCTAATGCATTAACCTTTCTAGTACAAAGTACAATTCTTTTCCGCACCCAAGAACAAAAGTACCTGGATGGCCCAGTGAGGTGGTACTTGACAGCAATAGAAAATCTTTAGTCGTTCCAACACAGATGTAGTTTTATCTTCAAATTGGTCTGCAAGGGCCTGAAGAACACAATTATCAGAATCCATAGGTGAAGTAATATTTTAATATGAACAAAATTCCCATTGTAAAAGTTATACAAAAGCATATATAAGCAATAAAGAAATAACTTTGACAGGTTGACATGGTGTGAATTTTTTCTTGAGTTTCTTTAAATATTTAAAAAACTTTAACCAATATTTACAGAAATATTTTTTTAAAAAAGCAGGGGGAGCTGGTGATGTAGTTCAGGGCAAAGAGCCTTGTATTCAAATTATATGCTGGAAGGAATAAGTAAATAAAGAGGAAAAGAAAAAAAGAAGGAAACGTTCGCTGGATATGCTGCAGTGAGGGCTGAGGCAGAAGGCCTGAGCGAAGTCAGGGAATTTGGGGAGATCCTGTCTCAAAATAAAAGATTTCAAAAGGTTTTGTCAATGTAGCTCAGTGTGAAGGGCCTGGATTCAATCCCCAGAAACACAAAATAATATTGATAAATAGTAACAACAATAAAAACTGCATGGCAGGATGGCATATGCCTGTTAGCCCAGCATGTGGGAAATTGAGGCAGGAGGATCCTCACAAGTTTGAGGACAACCTAGGATACACAGTGAATTCAGAGACAGCCGGAACTACACAGTGAAACCCTGTCTCAAATAAATAAACAATTAACTAAAAAACTGAAAACAAATAAAAACTAAGATTTTCCTAAATAATCCTTTTGGTGAACTAGCCTTTTCGGTAAGGCTTTTTGGTAGTACTCTGAGTACTACCTCGTAGTACTTAGGACTTAACCCATGGACACATTAGCACTGAGCTACAGCCCCAGGGCCCTTTTTGATTTTTTATTTTGAGACGCAGTCTCATTAAGCTGCTCAGATATCAGTCAAATTTGCGATCCATCTGACACAGCCTTCTTCAGTGCTAGGATTACAGGTATGCACCACCACATCTGGCTATTTTTACTTTTCTAAAGAAACATTTCTTAGCTATCTATTTTACAATATAGCTTCACTTTGACAAAAACATACTCTAATACTGAAACACAAGTATCTGAAGTACTTTACTTTTTCTGGACTAACTAAAGTGAAAGATAAAAACTAATTCCTTTTTTGATCACAGAAAGCAAATTTTCTCATTCCTCAGCCACAAAGCTTAAGGCTGGCTATTTATGTGAGATCATCTGTATGGTACAGTGGACAGCTGCATGCTGCATGCACTGAAGAATCCGTCTGATGTACGCAAACAATAAGTAACTGAATTCTTGAAGGCTGCAGCTAGAAGACCATGAAGATCAAAATGGCTGTTTCTGAAAAAAGGGAACCAGAGCCAGATGCAAAGTCAAAAGCAGGCACTATTTAGTGGTCAAGTGACTCCAACCACCCAAAGAGCTCACACACACCGAATCAGACTGGACACAACACACACTGGAATTCCTAGACAAACACGTGCACAGCAGCCTCATGCCATGATCGTCTTTCCCGTCCTGCCTCTGCATTTGTCCTTCACCTAATATTATGTATATATATTTTTCTGATACTATCCTTAAACCTCTCAACTGTGAATTATTATGACCTTTATTCTATAATACAGTGCTTATATTATCTTTTTTAGTGAGTTTTCAAAGACCTGTCTTGAGGATTAGACAGCAGTAACATATTTAATTTTCCTATTTTAACACACATATCAGGCTATGCAGGAGAACGTCCTTGGACATCAGGATGATAAGGCAGTGTTGTGATTTAAATAAAAAATATCCCCAGAACATCTCAGGCATTGGGAAGGGGACTGGCTCATCTGGGTACTATACTCATCAGTGAATTTATCCATTGGTCAGCTCGATAGCTGAACATGCTGTGGGGAGGGTCTGGGTGGAAGTAAGGTCCCTGAGGAAGAGGGATCTGGAAGGGTTTACTCCTGTCCCCCACTCCTCCCTTCTCTCTCTACTTTCTGATTGTCATAAGATAAGCGGCTGTCCTCTGCCAAGCCTTCTTTACCATGCCTTTTCTGCTTTGGAACCAGGTGACCAGAAAAAGAAAACATGAGCCAAAATAAACTTCTCTTTAAGTTGTAGGTATTGAGGATTTTGTCCCAGCAATGAGAAAGGGACTAAGACAGATTCTATTACCAGAGAAACAGCAACACTGCCATGACTATACCTGATCATGTGGTTTAGAAGTCCAGAATTTGTGGGAGAAGATGGAAAGGTTTGGAGATGCCAGCTAAAGCAGTTCTAGAATATTGTAAACAGGGCTTGATAGGCAATACTGCTCACAGTTCAAAAAGCCAAACTGCTAACTGATAATGCAGACAGTAAAGGCAGGGCTGAGGAAGTTTCAGTTGGAAACAAAAATTTCACTGGTGTTTGGATCTACCTTTTGGCCATGTTTGGACAGTGAAGACTAAAGGTAGTGGACTAATTAATCTGAAGGAAGAAATCTCAAAAGAGTCCAACACTGAGGTTTCAGAATGGTTACTACTGGCTGCTTTTAGCCAGATTTGCAGTGAGAATTAGGAGCAAATGGCAGAGCTAAATATTTTTAAAAGTCTGTACCTTCACCAGGAAAGAAGCACTTGTAAAACTGAGGCAAAGAACAGCATAGTTACTAAAATATTACCATTAAAAAGAAGCCAAGAAAATTGTATCAGGACAATAGAAAAAAATGCCTTGAGGACATCTCAAAAATCAGACCCCATTTTTTGCAAGCTCAAAGGTGCAAAACTGTAAGCTATCTGAGAAATTAACCTTGAAAAGGCCAATCTTGCTTGAGAAGGGCTACCTAGGTTACTGGTTGCCTGAGATTCCTTTCAGAGTACTTAGCCTTTCAAGCACTATGAGGTTTCTGCAGCCATGATGCAAGAAGGCCTGACTACTGCTCTAGCAGGTGGCGGACATTAGCATCATCCAAATGGTGATAGCTTTGCACATATACAGAATGTAAGAGTTGTAGTCAAAGAAGCTTCTCCCTAGATTTCAAAGGAAGGCCTGGGAGGATAAGCAGTGTGCCCCTCAGAGGGCAGTGCATGAACCTGTGAGTGAAACCAAAAGTGCATGAAGACCCCAGGAAGGTGAAGATGTCAGGCATACGGGACATCTCCTAGAGAAACTGAGGAAGTGGAACCACCTTAAAGAGGCCATGTGGATTACAATCAGCAAGGCCATAGGAGCTGCCCAAGCCCTTTAGAGTTTATATATCATGACTACTTGCTCCAGGTGCCGGACATGGAACTACAGGGCTGTTTGCCCTTAGCAAATCAGTCTTACTCCTACTCCTATGCATTCCTCTATTTCTCCATTTTGGAATGGGAATGTTACCTTGTGGTAACCTCTGTTTTTTAGAGGTCCTCATAGCATAGGATTTACCTTGAGTCTTGGAGGTAACTTTGGACTTTGACTTCTCATTATTACTAAAACTGCTAAGACTTTGGTAACCCTTAAAGAAGGATTAAATACATTTTGCATAAGATGGACGTGAGTCCTTTTAGGACCAGAAGAGGGAATTATGGTTTAGAAAAGAAGTGTCTCCCCAAAACCTCCTATGTGTGGAGGTGACTAGATCAGAGGATGCGATACTTACCCACAGATTCACCCATTAGTGAAATCAGCAGCTGACTGTGCTGTAGGGCCCTGGTTGGAAGTGTGTCACTGGAAGCATGACCTGGGGCATGTATTCTTTTCCCCGGCTCCTCCCTCCTTCTTGCACCTGGGCTGCCACGAATAAGCAACTGTCTTGCATTCAGTTTATTCTACTAGTACCTTTCTAACTTGGACCCAGCCAGCTATGGACTAAATCCTCTAAAAACCACGAGTCAAAATAAATCTCTCCTTTAAGTTGTGGGTGCTGGGTATTTTATCCCAGAAACAGAAAAGTGATTAAAATAGACAGCATGTAGCAACTTACTCTACAATATTTTATAATACAAAAGACAGATGTATTATACTTGTACCTTTTCTGAAATTATTTCAATTTTTTTTTGCAAAAAATTAAAAGAAAGATGTAGTAAATACAGATTTCCTCAAAAGAAAGTAAAGGAATTTAATACATCCTGGTAAAAGAGACCAGTTTCTAAGCCATGAAATAGCTCCTAAACTGAAAGTTCTCTATATTATGCTAGATGAAAGATAAATGTGTTACTCCAATAATATCCTAAAGAATGAGCTCCAGCATAAGAAACCACTCACTACACATTATTTCTTTGACAACTCAAGATCCTATTTAATCAAGTCAATCAGAACAAACTGAGACAAAACTAGACTTCTGGTTTCACCTTGGGATCTAAACATACTAGCCTTACTTCACAGAATCTTAACAGCAAAAAAAGTTGTATGCTTCTTCCCCATGCTGTTTAGTTTCTAGAGAAAGGAGAGAAAAGAATCATCTCTGGGTAAATACATGTGATTATAATATATAAAGAGATCATGAAATCACTTCATGGAAAAGGGATAAAATTTTTTTAACATTTTTAATTTCCATGTGTTTATAAAGTTCTTGTGGTTTCTTTTACCACTGACTTCCAATTTCATTGCACCATGGTCTGACGATACACATGGGATGATTTCAATTTCACTGTATTTACTTACACATGTTCTATAAGCTAGTACGTGGTCTATTTTGGAGAAAGTCCTGTTTGTAGCTGAGAAGAATGTGTATTCTGATGTTGTGGGGTGGAACACTCTGTACACATCTACAAAGTCCATTTGTTCAAAAGTTTGGCTCAGTTCTAATATTTCATTGTTGATTTTTTTGTCTAATTGATCTATTTGTGAGTGTGGCACTGAGATCCCAACACAACTGGATTAGTGTTTATTTGATTTTTTTGTCTGTTAATATTTGTTTCACATAGTTAGGTGCATTGGTATTTGTTGCATATATAGTTATGATTAGTATCTCTTTGTGCAATCTTCCCTTTACAAGGTTGTAGTGACCTTCTTTGTCTCTCTTAAGTAGTCTTGGCTTCAAACTCACTTGGTATACAAATAGAATACTCATCCCTGATTTTTTTTCTGGGTTCCTGTCACATGGAG